GCCAATGTGATTGTGTGTCAGACTGAATTATATTCTGAAAGCCGCTGAGTTCGAGAAAGAGAGAGCTACTGGGCGTCTTCTTAATAAAGATACGCCATGCAGCCTATCATAATATCTATCTATCTATCTATCTATCTATCTATCTATCTATCTATCTATCTATCTATCTATCTATCTATCTATCTATCTATCTATCTATCTATCTATCTATCTATCTATCTATCTATCTATCTATCTATCTATCTATCTATCTATACGCCATGCAGCCTATCATAATATCTATCTATCTATCTATCTATCTATCTATCTATCTATCTATCTATCTATCTATCTATCTATCTATCTATCTATCTATCTATCTATCTATCTATCTATCTATCTATCTATCTGTCTGTCTGTCTGTCTGTCTGTCTGTCTGTCTGTCTGTCTGTCTGTCTGTCTGTCTGTCTGTCTGTCTGTCTGTCTGTCTGTCTGTCTGTCTGTCTGTCTGTCTGTCTGTCTGTCTGTCTGTCTGTCTATCTATCTATCTATCTATCTATCTATCTATCTATCTATCTATCTATCTATCTATCTATCTATCTATCTATCTATCTATCTATCTATCTATCTATCTATCTATCTATCTATCTATCTATCTATCTATCTATCTATCTATCTATCTATCTATCTATCTATCTATCTATCTATCTATCTATCTATCTATCTATCTATCTATCTATCTATCTATCTATCTATCTTCCGTCCGTCCGTCCGTCCGTCCGTCCGTCCGTCCGTCCGTTCATCCATCTATCCATCTATAGCAGTGTCCATTATACATAATATTACTCACATATTTTTTTGAGCAATGGGCGCCTGAGCCAAATATACGATTTGCCAGTGACTTTTTCCAAGCCGGAGGGTCTTATGATTTAAGGAACACATGCTGAAGTGTTGTTTATTGTGTAGGTAGTCGGTTTCAGGCGGTTCAGAGATTAATGGGGTCCAGGCTTATGTTACGCCCAGTGTCACCAGGGCACATCTCTCTTTTTTTATTTGATCACTGGCAGGATACAAACACGCTGTAGTACTGTATATGCACAAGACAAACAAGGATAGTAGCATCCGTACCCCTGTGTATCTGTCTGTCTGTGGATTTCTCCAGACAAACTGCTCTTTAGGGCAGCTAGAGACATCTCGGGGGACTGTGCAGGCCTGGAAAAAATGCTTGAAAAACACCGTAGGTGTGAAAAGCAATTAGCAGTGAAGAGGCTGGAGGGGAGAGGAGACAGAAAGTGAGATTGGAGAGGAAGACATGTCTGAACATGAGACAGGGACACGGGGCCTTTGCCCTCCTCATGTCAAGCCTCTCTTCCCTGCGAACACTTACAGACATACCACTGTCTAGGGCAGGGGTCTCAAACTCAACTTAACTGGGGGCCGCTGGAGGTAGAGTCTGGGTCAGGCTGGGCCGCATCAAGTATTCCACAAAAAATAGTATTCAAGTATTCCAAAAAAGGAGCACAACTGATCCAATCTTTATTATTAACGTTTCTTCTGAACTGTTCCTCTGATTTTGAACATTCCTTTCTGTACACGATTGGTTCTTCATGAGCTGTCCTTCTGACAGTTGAAGTTCATTTTTACAAACTTTCTTTGTCTATAACACATATTTGTGATATTTATATTTGCTTATGTCCTTTTTATTTTCTTTATACAACACATTAATGATATTGAATGTTTTTTTTTTTTGGAAGGCACATTTCCTTTTATTATACTTAGAAAAACAATTATTGCTTTTGAAATACAAATATTTGCGGTCATGTCTGCCCGTCTTATTGAATTCTTTCTACACATGTATAGTGTCTGACTTTGCACAAATCAAAGCAAACCGTCTTATCAACCTGTTGGACACATATTACAAGCTCAAAATGATTATTCTCACATTGTTTTAGAGCAGGGTCTCTCTCCAACACGTCGCTCGCGAGCTACCAGTAGCTCGTGGCCTGATTGGTGGTAGCTCGCCAAGGGGCCGTTCACATATCGCGCTCACATATTTTCCGCGCTCAAGTTCGTTATTTCAAATGTAGGCGCGCGGCAAGCGCGCTCATAATTGAAGCGACGCGCTCATTTTTTCCAGGCGCAGGATGTTTGTACTTCGCGGTTGTCATTGACAACTATTGACAACAAACCCACCGTAAGCTGTCACGCAACTATCTATGGTAGCCCATAAGGGATAAAAATAATATATAATAAAATATAAAAATAATAATATAAAATAATATAAAATATATATAAAAAAAATTTTTGCACACGCAATGACGGGCCGCACTAACATTAAACTTTAATGTCAAGTAGGGGGCCACAAAATATCACCCCGCGGGCCGCAAATGGCCCGCGGGCCGCGAGTTTGAGACCACTGGTCTAGGGAGTTTTTATTGCCTCCTGTTGCACCTGAATAACCATTGAATCGTGCATAATTAGCATGCATAATCACAGCTCTATTGCACCGCGGTAAACAATTTGAGCTGCACGCCTATAAAACAACGTTATATTGCTGTGATAATGAGAAAAGGCTTCTTGCGTTCAGTCACAATTGCTGTAAAATTGATATACACTTGATTTGAGGCATTCTATTTTGCAAGGTAAATAAGTGATCCAGGCACTTTTGTTGATCAATGGGCATCCTGGTTTGTTTCCACTCTCAAGCGTGTCTCGAAATGCACCGGAGCCAAGTGGAGGCGTCTAGAGATGGTCAATATCCACATTTGACACACTCACTTGTCACTGCTAATCCAGGAACCAAGAGCCCCTACAAAATCAATTACAACCTAATTACCTTTGCACACAGTTTACAAGCCTTCATCCCAGCTTTTCTAGTGTTTGAGGTGAGATGGACACAGAAAGAGAGTGAGTGAGTGAGAGTTTGTGTGTGTATGTGTGTGTGTGTCTTTCCTCAGTATAGCTTAGAAAGCTTGTTCCCAAAAGTTGTCCGGGGAGAGGCTGGGTGATATATTAAATATTCAAAATATATATGAAACATTCTCATACACCGAGATGATTTTGATTAAGCCATTAAGTTTCCTAAAGTTGGCGTAATTAGTCTATTTTTACTGCTAATCTATGATTGAAACTTTTAAAACTTTCAAGGTCAAAAATTATTTGTAAATGTTAATTGTCTCATTTTCACTCACTCAGAAAATTGTTACTGTAAAGTTTTTTTCCCTTACAAATGCAAAAAAAAAAAAGTTTATTTGAGGTGTTAAGGTAAGATTAGGGTTAGTTGATCGTATTTTCTAATTAGATTTTATGATTTATATGTCCTTATCTATGTGTGTGATATTGAACAAAAGACTTGATAGTGATATTTTGTTCAGACAGTGTTTATAACATGTATATATTATAAAACTCTTGTGCATCTCTTATGCATTCAGATGCTGTACATAGATATGTACGCGTTCTTGTGAATGTGTATGTTGTTTAGACGTCTTAGGTCTAAATATACTTCGCTGTACCTGAAGTCTCCAAGTGTGCGGTCGGCCAGGGGGGTCCAGAGAAATGAAGAGTCAGAGACACCTGCCTCTCTATGTCATTCTGAGGGGCCCGGGGCCGTGTCAGGTTTACACACACACACACACACACACACACACATACACAGAGTGACGTGGAGCCAGCAGTTATGTGGCTTAACCATGGATAACTCGGTGCCGATCGACAAGGAACGATTAAAAACAGCAAAACATCATGTCTTCATTCTTTTGTGGTTTTGTAGGAAAAAAGCTCAGACACTTTCATTCACATCATTGTGTTTTTGAGTTTCTGAACAATGTTTTTTTTTTTTTTGGGCTACTTTAAAGCACAAGTGCGATGATGTAAAGAACTAGAGAATTGAAAGTAACATTTCAAATTCTCATTAATTTACTGAATTGAATTCTCTTTTTTTGAAGCTGCATGTTGTGATCCCGTGATTTATATCGGTTTGACTGAATCATTTATTTGAATTGTTTCAAAAGAATCATTTGATTGGGATTCAATTGGCACCAGGCTGTAAAATATCATCTTTATTGATATAAAGTTTTATTTTTTAAGTGTTAAGCACTAAGTTAAATCTAAACTTGCAGGATTTTGAAGGAACTCGTCTGCCTCCTACAAAGACTGGGGTCGTTTTAAAGCTGCATAAATTCATTTTCTCAGTACAGAGGAAGTCTGGTCAGCATGTTGAGCTCTGAAGCAGTTAGGTTGGGAATGATGGCGTGTGTTCACAAGGATCTTGTTCTTGTTTAGGGGTTAAATGGGGCAAGCATTCCTGAGGTGTGAGAAGAAGTCTGACTCATGCCTCTCTATGGCCAGATTTATTATAAGGAAGCTCTCATGCAGACAGCCGGCTGGATTTTTGGGAGTCTTTTGCCTCATTTAGACATTGTGTGTGAAGTGTTTTGGCAGAAGAGGGCAACGGACATTAAGGGATTATTTTGGCTGGACAGGTGGTCATTGTCTCAGCTCCTTCAGTCAGTCTCTGAAGTGACATGAAAAAATGTGTGTTTGTTGTGATAAGGCAGCAGTGCACTGAGGGTCAAAGGTCACCCCAGCTCAAATTAAAACAACTCCTAGCAATTCCTTCACAGTTACTCATCCCAGCAGAAGATATTGCATTGCACTTCATTGGGTTTTTAATGCTTGTCTGTTCCAGAGGAACCTTTATTGCTCAAAGGTTGCTCTTTTATTGCGTATGAGGCTTAATAATGGAGATCTCAGTTATCAACTTTATCTGATGTTGATATTTTACAGTACTTTTGCATTAGGAGAAATAGGAGATTTTTCATTAGGAGAAATAAAAATAGACAACTGTTGACTTGACACACCATAAAAGTACAGAGCTAGCAGCTCAGATCATTTGGTCTTGGAAGAAATATTTGAGTTTATTTTGAGAATTTGAGATATTTAACGCAGACTTGGGTATTTTGCGATGTTAAGGATGCAATCTAAAATTCAGCATTTAAGCTTGCACTGTTTTCTGCTTTTAGGTATGACTTCATTGAGATCCGAGATGGGAGTTCTGAGTCCGCGGAGCTGCTGGGAAAGCACTGCAGTAACATCGCTCCTCCTGCCATCATTTCCTCCGGTCCCGTCATCCACATCAAGTTTGTGTCTGATTATGCGCACCAGGGTGCTGGATTCTCCCTGCGCTACGAGATCTACAAGACTGGTGAGCGAGCTCAATCCTGCTGCTCCTATGTGCTTAAGGAAATGGATCATTTGAGGAACACTTTTTCCAAGGAAAATTTTCTATTCCTGACATTGAACAGCTCAAGCATTCCCATTATTTCCTTTCACAGGTGCTTAGACTTTCTCATGCCATGTCTATGGGACACTAAATTATGGCTATATATTATTTATAAAAAAAAAAAAAAATCAATTTATAAACACCAATTTAAATTACATTTTGAATACAAATGGATTTCAGAGAAAACATTTTTTTTTTTTATTTTTTTTTTTTTTTACTATTTTTGAAGTTTGGCTTGAAGCTTCCAGCTCATTTGAGAACATTCTGTGGTGACATGCAGCTTACACACTTTCAGTCTCAGTTGTGTCTGCTGTAGATGTGTTGTGAGGGTCCTGCTGACAAGAATTCTGCAAATGTTTGGATTCTGCCTTTTGAAAAATAATGAATCCAGTTTATCCTTTCAACGAGGCAATATTTCTTAAGAAACATTTGGAACACTTCGCATAAGCCATTATTTTTTGGTCAGTGTCTCTCCAGATGTGAAGACAAGCAACACATTTCCTCTAGCTGTTTTCTTTTGTCGCTCAGTGATCTTGGTGTTTATGTGTGAAGCCTCTTGCTCTTTGATTGATGGTTGATTGGAGCAGGCTGGTTTTTGAGGGTCACGAGTGGCTCGGCTTGATTTTGGAGGTGCTCTTGTTACGCTGTAAATCTCGTTAGCGGAATGACCTCATGCGACCTTTAACTCGCGGTTCCAGAAGGTCGCGGCTCCTCCGTCCCGCTGCAATGCCGTCAGACACGCTGATTCTTAAATGTTCCCTCAAAGTTTCCGAAAAGCTCCCAGACCAATTAAACATCAAGGGAGAGAAGAAAATAAAATAAACTGAGTTTAGAGGAAAGGCGGGGAGGGGCGACACTTAACTCTTTTCATCCCTCCATGAGCATGCCAGGAATGCCCTCTTAATTGGACTCTGATCTCTTGTCCTTGGGGAATTCGAGTTTGGAGTTCCTGGCAATTTGTATGTGGACTTTGGAGCCATTTGGAGCCATCTGTAGGGATTTTACTGTAGAAGTATACTAACAAGGCATCATAAAATGTGAGGGCATTCGTTTATGTATTTTGCCGGATTGGGTCCAGGGAGTTCTCGGGGGTTAGGTATTTTTGTTACAGGCTAAAGTCAAAAGAGACCACCTTTAAATGACCACCTTTAAACACCTTTATATACTGCTAATATGCAACATTCTGCTAAAGGTTCTGGGTGGATGCTAGGTTTTTTTTCCAAAGGACCACCCTTTATTCTCTATTATATTGTGGACTGTAGATATGGCTCAGGTCCCTTCTTTAATGTAAGTCAATGGTATTACATTTAGCTAAGTATAAGCAAAAGTAATAGTGTTATTTGTCTTGGCAAACACACTTAACTAGCACTATAGCGTTCCATCAAAAATATTGCTCTAGCCTTTACACTCATGGGAGTGCAGCGATAAATGTTGTTTTGCAACAGCGATGATTAGCCCGGTAACATAAGCACCGTGGCTTCATCGTGGCTGATGGGAAAAACAGCAGAGTTATTCTATCTCTAAGCCTTCACCTCACCTCAGTAATTGCTGAAATCATCACCATTGCCCTCAGGTACTGTTACCACAGATACAGTTGCTAACTCTAGTAGTATGACTCACGTGATAAGCCCACAATCTCATTTTACACTAACCAGAGACAGCCCAAGAACATCTTTTAATAAAGGCATGATATGCTTTTTTCTTTTGGGATGCTAATATAGCATGTGTGGGTGTAGAGCGATGGAGCGAAGACGATAGATTTATGACTTGTAAATGTTTTATTTGATCACTTGCCGTTTTTGTGTTATGCTGACTTCATGTCATTTCAGAATAATCAATAATATACTGTGTGTGAAGAGTTCAGATGCAAAAGCCTCTAAGTGCCATTTGAAATTTTCTTCTAGAATGATAATTTTTATCAAGCTTGTATATGTAAGTTCAGTAATTTCACTTAAATGACAATTAATAGGTAATCTTCAGTGCCATTTAAGTGAAATTACTGAACTTAAATATACAAGTTTGATCAAAATTATCATTCTAGAAGAAAATTTCAAATGGCACTTAGAGGCTTTTGCATCTGAACTCTTCAAGGGCGTAGATTTGGTTTGAACATTGGGGGGTTGAAGTTTGGGTATGCCTCCTGATATTGTGATCATGGTATAAATAATGGGGGGGTTGTAATGCATAGATTTAAATATTGGGGGGGGGGGTTTGGGGGGGGGGGGGGGGTTATATCCCCCCCACAAATTACGCCTCTGGAACTCTTCATATATATATATATAAACATACACTGCTCGGCCCGGCCCAAAAGAAGTCGATGTTTGGATTGAAATAGGCAAATGCTTAAGAGTCTATGATTGGATCATTATTGAAGAGATTATTATGTTTCTGACATGTTATATGTTTGGCAACAGTTCTTCTAAGCCTAATTGATGGAGTGTGTAGCATTTTATTTCTTAAACAACCATGTAGGAATACACACCATGGCCATATTCCATATTCTTGATGGAAATAAATGTTACTTGTGATGTTATTTTAGTGATCACAAAAATATGTATACACTGTAATATATGGAGTATCATATTAATATATTTTCTTAATTTATCTTTAATTTAATTTAAATGAATGATGAATCAATTAAGTAGATTAAAATTTTATTCATATTATTACATATTCATGTTATTATTAAATATTAGCCTGATTATAATTTTTAAACTCATTAGGAGCATCTTAGGAGAAGGACATGGAGGCAGCATTAGTGTTTTGTTTAAGATCTTCATGTTAACTTTGATGCTAAAGGCAAATGACTGACGGTTCCCTTTTCCTGCAAGACACAAAATAATGGTTGTTTATCTGTTAAAATCCAGGTTTTGAGGCAGAGTAGTTCAGAAAATCCGACTTTACAGGTTTTGAAAGATAAAGGACCTGTTGTTTATACAAACTGCTCCGTTCACTGGAGTTGTGGGAAAGTGTTAGCGTGGGTGAGTCTCAGCGTTTATGTCTGTTTATATGGAGAGGCGTCGCAGAGATAATGATCTCTGGTGAACACTTTCCTCCGATGCATGTTCTCTTATCCAGCACTGGGAGCGAGAACATCAAACCCTCGTTCACGTTCATGCAGAAATCCCGGTCTCCGGCAGACCCTCGGGTAGCATGCAGTCACACTATTATGTAGATGATCTCTTAGGGCCATTACGGCTGACTAACGCTCCTTGGCTTAGAGCAAAAACACGTTTGAAACTTTCAAAGTTAAACAGTGCTGACAAGACACCTTAAAAAAGTTTACAACATGCAGCTTTAAGTGGATTAGCCCATGCTTTGCTTGGTCATGGACAGAATCTCCACAGATAACTGCAGAATCTCAACTGTCTCGCCTATCATTCATAAAATGTGGCGCATGCCCTCCGCATTGCATGCTCATTCATTTCATATTTTGGCTAATTAATGCTTTAAGTATCATTGTAATTCCCTCAACTCAATTGAAGTTTGCAGTTACAAACTTTGAAGGAGATTTTGCGCGATAGAAATGAGTAAAACACGCTTTGAGGGTGCGGAAAGAGCTGGTGATCGGATGGGAATATAAACGGACTGGGAATTAAGTGGGAACACGCCTTTTGATGTTCCAGACACATTGATATGAATGCATTCACAGCCTTGTCTGATGCAGAGTGAGCTGTTGTGTGTAAGGGCAATTAAACGGGTAGTTCACCCAAAAATAATAATTCTGTCATTGTATCCATTTAGAGTAATCTCATCCTCATGTCTACATTGCACGTTTGAATCTTGCTGCAAAGTTGTTTCAACCTCTGACCCTTTATCTCCCACGGTCATATGTTCCTCAATCCCGGTCCCCTTTGCTGCCCCATTTCTTTGCCCCAGTTTATTGAGGCCAGATTTTTACCCACAGTGGCATGTGCAACACAACAACCCCTCCTGCCCCAGTCACATGACTGTGACGCTGTTGCTACGGTTACTGCGGAAGACTTCCCGCCGAGCAGCCTTCGGGCCAAGCGCCGCTGAGTGCACACTCAAAAGAAAGCGCTAGAAGAAGCGATCAGGGCCGTAGGTCTCTGTCGCTCTGGGTAACGTCAGTACCGCCCCCCACCTGTGCCGGAGAAGCGCTCTGGAGGCTTTCCTGGCTGTCCAGTGGAATTTACTACCACTTTAACAGTTGCTTTCAATCAGGTGCCATCTGCCTCGCTGTCTCGCTTCCTCTTCTCCTATAAAACGCCACATTTAAAGCCTTCAGCTCTAACTAGCTCTTCTTAAAGCCAGCAAACCCAGCTTTCTCAGATAGCATTGGCATGAAATGGAGAGCAAATGGATGGATTTCTTCTTGGATTTTTCTTTTAAAGGGATACTCCACTTTTTTTGGAAATAGGCTCATTTTACAACTCCCCCAGAGTTAAACTGTTGAGTTTTACCGTTTTTGAATCCATTCAGCCGATCTCCGGTTCTGGCGGTACCACTTTTAGCATAGCTTAGCATACATCATTGAAGTAGACAAGACCATTAGACGGAAGGTAGCCTGAAAATAGGTTACCTTCCGTCAACACAACAGAACTATTTTCAGGCGCTGCGTCATATCATTACGCCTGCTGCACTCATGGTACGGCAGTAAAGTTTCTTGATTATTACGCAGGAATGAGAGTATAGTTCCTAGCCAAATCAGCCTAGAAAATCGCAACTTTACATTTTCCGTCGGTCTTAGTGCACGATGTAACTACAGAAGAGTCAAGTTTTAAATAGGAAAAATATCGAAACTCTTTGGTCATTTTTATTTTAGAAAAGCTAATGGTCTTGTCCACTTCAATGATGTATGCTAAGCTATGCTAAAAGTGGTACCGCCAGAACCGAAGATCGGCTGAATGGATTCAAAAACGGTAAAACTCAACAGTTTAACTCTGGGGGAGTTGTAAAAT